TGCAGGAGCCTACACACAGACCACCTGCTGGGGAATTCCCAAAGGCAAAGGGTGAACTGTTGGAAATGAACTATACAACGTGGGGGGAGGGGAGTCAGGAGGGAAAAACCTAGGAGAAAATGAGGGAAAGGGTGACATGTTCAGAAAGACAGGTACTCAATACTTGAATTAGGTAACTGTAATCCTTTAATACATCACCTTTATAATAAAAATAAAATAATTTTTTAATAAAGGATGGAACAAAATGGTGAGACAAGGGACACAGGGTGAAGCAATGCAACCTCCATACTCACAAGACACTACATTGGAAACGAACTTTACAACTCTGGGGAGAGGGAGGAGGGAAAGTGGGAGAAAATGAGGGAGGGGTAACAATAGTCGACAAGAAATGTAATCATTACCCCTTGTATATCATCTTTACAATAAAACATTAAAAAAAAAAAGATGGAAGAAAGGAATGACCTCCACTAACCCACCTTAGCTGGGAGGGCTTATCTGCCTTGCTAGAATTGCCATACCAGCTAAGCTTTACTTCAGATTATTTTTCACTTCTTCTAGTCTATACTCAAATCAAATCGCTTTCCCTACCAACACCCAGCTATACCAAGTGGTTCCATGAACTCCTTTTGTCATTTGTTATAACTGAGTATCTGGCAATTGCAACCAAAGACTTACTGATTTATATAGTATATCTAGGAAACAAAATACCAGAAGGATATTTCCTAAATGTTAATTATTACTCCCACAAGGTGGGATTATTGGGGATTCTTACTTGGTTTTGCTCATACATAAGTTAATTTTTTTCTAACATTAACAGTCGTGTCTTATGTATTAGGAAAACAAAGCATTAAGATTTTTTTAACTGTTAAAATTGATACATCATATAAATGCCAGACACTCCTCTAACGTACTGAAAACTGCAGAAACTAAATTATCTTTCTCAAAAAATGTTCCACACAAACACAATTCTAGAGTCCTTGACTGCTATCTAGGGACTGGTATTGCCAGTTCTGTGTAACAGGACCAGCCCTGGTTCTGAGAGTCAGAACAACCACTAAAGCCTACACACACACACACACACACACACACACAGGAACTAAGAGGCTCCCTGGAAGGGCCTGGAGAGACAGGACCACTAAAGCCTACACACACACACACACACACACACACACACACACACACAGAACCAGGAGAGACAGAGACAGGACCACTAAAGCCTACACACACACACACACACACACACACAGAACCAGGAACTAAGAGGCTCCCTGGAAGGGCCTGGACCACTAAAGCCTACACACACACACACACACACACACACACACAGGAACTAAGAGGCTCCCTGGAAGGGCCTGGAGAGACAGGAAGCTCTCAAGAAGCCCAGAGGAACCTCTCTAGAATTAAAGTGGAGGGCTGGGAATGTGGCTTAGTGGTAGAGTGCTTGCATAGCATGCATGAAGCCCTGGATTTGATTCCTTAGTACCAATAAACAGAAAAGCTGAAAAGATGCGGCCATTCAGCAACCTTTTTGAAACAAATCTCCAATCTCCTTATGCACATCCCAGCCACCATTCCCATTTTCCTTTCATTCCTTATCCCCTACTTGAGTTCTCTTCGCTCTGCCAGAGTTGTCCCTGATAAGGTTTAGATGATAAATCACTCTGCCTCACAGTAAACACATCAGCACTTTTTCCAGGTTCAACTCAGACCAATTATCAGCACAATTTATACCCTGAGGTTTCTAAAGTCAGATTCAATTCTCATCAACATTAGGAAATATTCAAGATTCCCAAAAATAAACTCGACAGATTTGCTCAAGAGCAACTATTTTCTATACCAGGGAGCTAAATTTATAGCTCCAATATTAGTATCCCAACTACAGTGCTAATGCTGCCATTAGCTGTCTTTTTGCATGCAGATAGGGAAGACAGCTTTCTGCCTGGGTGATCTCTTTGAGAATGCAGAGAATACAAAGGCTCCACACCTTCAAGAAGTTTTTTTTTTTTTTTAATTGTGAAAATACCGTACAGAGGGGGTTACAATTACATGGACAAGGTAATGAGTACATTTCTTATCAAGCATTGTTGCCTCCTCCTTGTTTCCCCTTCTCATTCCTTCCCATCCCCCCCACCCCCCCTTCCCTTCTCACCCCCCACCAGCCTGGCCAAAATTGTAAAGTTCATATTTTGACATAACATTGTACATCTCATTGTTGCAATGGGTCCACCTGTATCCCTATCTAAACAATTTGTTTTTTCCCCTTCCCCTCCACAAATTATACCAACATCAAATACAATGAAAACAAGTTTTAAGACTCTGTCTTCCTTTCCATGTTGGTGAAAAATTCTATTCATCTTTCTTGGGCTCAAAAAATTACCTCTTTTGAAAAGGGGGAAAGAATGGAAAAATTAAGGAAACATTACAAGTGACTGTTAGAGAAAAGAGAGAGAGAAAGAGAAGGAAGGAAGGAAGGGAGGGAGGGAGGGAGGGAGGGAGGGAGG